AAAGTTTCTTCTCCCTCAAATGATGACCTGCAACTTCAAACTCACCACTTCCAGGCCCCAGCAACACTTGCTAAAAGCTACCTTTTTTATAGAGCTCACTAAGTAGGTTCACATATGTGCGTTCATTTCATTGTCACAACAACCCTGTGCACGGCAGATGTGATGAGGAAACGGGAACTCAGTGTGTCTAAGGTCACCCAGCAAGTACCTGGTGCATCACAGCTAACCCAGGGTCTCTGCTTTCACATTCCCAGCATTTCCATTCACATCGTGGATCTTTCTGAGTTCAATTTCCATAGCTCTGCTCTGTGCCAGATAATTAAAGACCCAATTCCTGCCCCCAGGCTTCCATGATAAACGTGGCGAGTTGTCTCATGCAGCACGATGCCAGGCATTTGGGACAGGTGGGAGGAAAACACATTCTGGGGGTTGGGGTGGAGCAACTTTGGAGAGGCCCTGGGTGGCCCTGGACCCTGGCTCACTGCAGGAGTCCAGGGCAAGCCCAGCTTCAGGAGCAGACGTGGAGAGGCTGAGGGGATAAAACACTAGACGAGGCACTTGCGGGCCTAGGCTTCAACTGAGATGCTCCGTGTGACCCTGGGAATGTCACTTCCACCCTCAGGCCTCAGTGTCCAATGGCCTAAAGCAGGGGTGACAACCTCTGCTGGACTCCCTAACCAGGGCACTGCACCTTGGTTTGTGGGATATCTCCTTATGCGTTCAGACTTTTTACTGGAGCCTGCTCAGGGGTTGGGGTGGGTTTTGAGAACGGGCATCCCCTTTCTTTCAAGGCAACTTTCCGCAGGGGAAGTTATTATGGGAATTTTGTCTACCACCCAGATTTTACAATTCACAGTTTACTTTAATGTGCTTTATCACACATCTCTCTCCAGCTCAGGCACAGCTGGCACTTCTCTCAGTTTTTGAAGGCTATGTAGTGTTCAAGCCATCTGTCTCTTCCTGAAGCAGCTCATTTTTTCAGAGCCATGAAATCCCATTGATGTTCTTAAGAAAAAAAAAAAAACTCTATAAGATTTACATTCAACTCCAGGAGAGCTGAAGCTACATTTTTTCTAGAAATTATATGTCCATTTTATTTTATTTTTTGGCAGCTGGCCGTTACAGGACCTGAACCAGTGACCTTGGTG